TGAACCAAATGCAGAAGAAGAAAAATGTTCTTATTTCTCTAAAACACATGAAGAAAAACTGCAGCAAATAAACAAAAGGAAGATTTAATATTCAAATCTGACGAGTTTAGAAAAATAGGAGCCGACAGAAACAGAAAATGTTCAGAGAGAAAAACTGATCAACATTTCAATGAAATCTGATGAATGAGAGGAAAAAATAAGAGAAACAACATCTTGATATTCAGTGTGAAGCTTTGACTGGAAACAGAAAAACATGAGGATCCTGGAATAATCCTGGAATAATCCCAGCTTCCATCTTTAAAGGACTGGAAGAAGAAAAAGTTTCCAAGGACTCAATCAGAAAAGTTTCACCAAGAAATAGATTGTAGAGATGAACTATCTGTTCAACAGTGAGAGAGTTTCTCTGACAGGAAGAAACACTTTAGGCTCTTTAGACTCAACTCAGCACAGAAACACTGAGGATCCAGACCAGACTGTTAATCCAGGAATCAGAGGTTCAGTGAATGTGGTGTTGAAGGTGTGGAGGTGGATCAGAGAGTCAGAGGAGACGCTGTAGAAGGACAGAATGCCAGCAGGACAGTCCACATACACTGATACTCTGTGAGAGACAGAGGAGGAGGAGAGACGAGTTTCTATGTTATTGTGACAGACAGAGTAAACATCATCATCAGAGCATCTCAGACTCCAGGAATGATCATTCCACCCAAACCAAGAGTCTCCACTGTTTCCTTTCCTCCTGATTCTTCTGTAATTCACTGATATATTAACATCTCCTCTCCACTCGACCTCCCAGTAACAGCGACCAGTCAGGCCAGTTCTACACAACAGCTGATGATAAACATCAAATCTGTCTGGATGATCAGGATATGACTGAAGCTCCTCCACAAATGTCACCTTCCTGTTGTCTTCAGACAGTTTGAGTTTTCTGCTCACTGTGTTTGTGTCGATGGTGAGTTGACAGGAATCTGATGGAGAGAACAAACACAATCCAGCTGCAGTTATTGATCATTTATTGATCTTTGATGATGATCCTGAATGAGTGATGTGACAGTTTGAAGATGGTTGAATGTGAGCTGCTTTGTTGTCATGAATCAGATGAAAAACACACTTACACTTCCTCAGACCTGGTGTCAAGAATGGGCCTCCAGCAGGCTCCACCCTGAAAGGAGGAGGGGGGTCAGACCATCAGTCTCTTTCAGCAGCAAACATGGACATTACATGTCTCTCAGACACACATTGTCCTCCACTGAGACAGGAACAGTCCAACATCTGGATTGCAAACTGCAGTGGATGTAGGAAGGACAGTTGGTGCTGCTGCACAACTCATTTCTCCAAACACAGGAAAAGCTCCAACAGAGAGGAGAAAGGAAATCCCTCAGTAACAACCTGAAGAAACTCACTGAAGCCTAAAAGGACATCAGGAAACTAAGGAAACATTTCTGGAAGCTCAACCTGATTTAA